TCTCAAAAAACCAAAAAAAAAAAAAAAAATCGCACATATTTGTGGGATACCACATGATTTTGGGGGGGTACCAGGGATTGAACTTGGGACCTTGCATCTGCAAGGCAGGCAGCAGCACTGCACTAAATCCCTGGCCCTCGTGTGATGTTTAATACATGCATATATTGTATAATGTTCAAATCAGAGTAATTATCTCTAGCTCCTTAAGCATATATCATTTCTTCATGGTAAAAATATTCAAAATCTTATCTGCTGGCTTTTATAAAACATACACTACAGTATTATTATCTGTAGTCACCCTACTGTGCTATTGTACAATACTGTATATTGCATAGTACCCTAGGCATATTTCTTCTATCCAGCTCTAACTTGACTATTGACCTCTCCCAGAATGGGTTCTGGGCAGGGTGGGAAGCTGGAGATCCAGCACTGTCCCCCAACAGCAGAGCAGCTCAACTCTGCTTTGCTGCATTTAGTATATGTCCTCAGGAGGTCACACGTAAAGAAACAACCCTTTGCCTAAAAGCAACACAAAAACCAGAAATCTTGCCCAACCCCTCTCTGGATACAGGAACCACCTTGTAAGATTCTTGGAGCACAAGAGCTGGGCTCTGGGCTAGATGCTGGGGACACAGGTCAGCTGGACGTGGCTTCTGCTGTTGACGAGCTGCATACCCCAGGGCCCAGGTACTCATGGCCACTTGGCAGGCTGTTCCATTGCCAGACCATCTGGAGTGCTACTGTCATCTTTCTATGTAATTTCATGCCCTCTGGTCCCTAACTACTTCCTAAAACTACGGCTCACCCAGCCCAGTGTGCTCACCCATAGGAAGTAGGAAGTCAGGCTCCGGCCCACCCAGTCCATGATGTTGAAGAGCAGAAAGCAGCAGATAGGGTTGAAGAACTGACCTGATGGGACAGACAGGGATGGCGATTCACCTGGCCCCTGACTCCCCTCTTCCCTCTATCCCCTTTGCTTCCCCTCTCCTTTTCAGCATCCCAACACTCACTCCACTTCCCCGGGCCGGTGGAGCTGGTCACCATGGCTGTGATGGCAGGGAAGACCGACAGGGTGACTGTGAAGACCAACACAAGGCACAGCGCCATCAGCCAGATCTGGGAGCCGGAGGCAGGGGTGTGAGCAGGCAGGGCAGCCCTGGGCCCAGTACATAGCCGACCCTCTCTGCCCCCCACTGGCAGGACATTTGGGCCTGGCCAGCTGAGTCCCTGACCTACCCTGACCCTGTGACCTTGGAGTGGACAAGAGAGTACTAAGGCATCGTTCTAATCTAAGAATCTGGTGAAGGCTGGAGAGGGTGTCCTTCCCTTCCTCCCAGGGATGGTGGTTGGGAGCTATGTCCCAGCCGAACCTTCTGGAAGACAATGAAGACTGAAGGTTTTTCTGGCTTTTGAGGCTCATCTAGTTCAGGCTCTGGCTCCTTTTCAAGGTCAAGATCCAGAGTCAGGGCTGCTTTCTGGGGGCTGTTGGGAATCCCGTTCTTCTCATCTGGAGAAAGAGGGAAAGGTAATGTCATGCCCGTGATCCAGGTTTCCTCACAGCCAGGCCCAAAGAAGGGAGAATCCCAGCAATTAAAACAAGTGAACTTCCTCTAGCCCAGGTGCATGTGAAAGGAATTCTTGAGTGCATTATACCATCTATTAAGCACGTGCATGTGCCAGGGAACAAAATAAGCATTTTTGTTTTGTTTTGAGACAGTGTCTCACTATGTAGTTCAGGCTGCCCTCAGACTTACTATGTAGCCCAGACTGGGCTTGGATTCACTATGATCCTCCTGCCTCAGCCTCCCAAGTGCTAAGATGACAGGCATGTGCCAGCATGCCCAGCAAGATAAGCTTTTTTTTTTTTTTTTTTTGGTACTGGGGATCAAGCTCAGGACCTTGTGCTTTTGAGGCAGGCGGCAGCTAAATCCCTGGCCCCAAGATAAGCATTTTTAACATGTTCTCTCACTGCCGTTGCTTTGTAAGTGAAACTGAGGCTAGCTGGGGGTGGTGGCTGTAATTTTAGCATTCAGGAGGCTGAGGTAGGAGGATTGCCATGAGTTTGAGGATAGCCTGGGCTACATAGCAAGTTCAAGGCCAGCTTGGACTACATAGTGAGACCCTGCCTCAAAAAAAGATAAAAACTTAAAAACAGGGCTGGGAATTTAGCTCAGTGGTTCTTTCGCCTGCCTTGAAAGTGCAAGGTCCTGAGTTCGATTCTTGGTACCAAAAAAACAAGTAAAACTGAGGCTAGAAGTGTT